GTTCTCCCTCCTCCCACTGATCGGCGCCCTACCAAGCGAACATGCCTTTTCTGTAAGGGCGAACACAGTTCAAATGATTGTAATGTTGTAACAGACAAGGGAAGGAGATACTCCATTGTACGTGATGCAAGGGTATGCTTTAACTGTCTTAATCGTCATTCAGTATCTAAATGCAAGTCACGGAACAGATGTAAGGTGTGCCATCGAAAGCATCATACCAGTCTTTGCCAAAATGCAGAATCAACTCCCCTAGTGTCATCCACTGAACCGCCAACTACAAACAAGGCTCAATGTACACCCACCACAGACAAGACTACAGCACCTTCAGTCTCATCCTACCACATTGGTGATACTAGCAGACACACCCCCGTTCTACTGAAAACAGCCGTTGCTTCTGTTGGTAGTCACAACAACCACATCAGTGCACACATTTTATTTGATGAAGGGTCTCAACGCTCCTTCATTACTTCAGATGTAGCGACCAAACTTGATCTGAAACCAGAAATGCAAGAGACCATATCCCTGTCAACCTTTGGTGGGAACACATCATCCGTTAAACGCATTGACACTGCCACCGTTTTTTTGTTGAAACCGCTCAAGAGGAGAACATTCCCATTCGGCGTGATCATTGTACCAACAATAGCTGCCCCCCTCACTACTTACACTGGTGCCAATGTAAGGGAACTACCACACTTAAAGAGACTGTCATTAGCACAAAACGTTGATGATTCACCTTTCACAGTTGATATTCTAATCGGTGCAGATCATTATTGGGACATAGTGGAAAACGAAGTTGTCAAGGGTCCAGGTCCCACAGCAGCCAAATCAAAGATAGGATACCTCCTTTCGGGCCCCCTCTCCAACAGTAACCATTCAGAGAACCTAAACACGTCTATTTTAAATGTTGTGACTGAGCATCATCAAGAACAATTTGATTTGGAACGTTTCTGGCGGATTGAATCAGTTGGTGTTCAGCCAAGCTCATCAGAAGAAACGGTTGACTTTCTGAAGTACTATCAAAACTCGTCTATCATGTTGGAGGATGGCCGGTACAGTGCAAAGCTACCCTGGCGACCAGAACATCCCCCTCTACCATCAAATGCAGAAATCACTAAGCAGAGAACCCGCTCCATGGTCAGAAAACTAGCTGAAGATCCTAATAAATTACGCATGTACAATGACATCATCCAAGAACAACAATCTCGCGATTTTATCGAAAGAGTGGACAATCCAGAAACAACCAACGGAGTGTGTCATTACATACCTCATCACGCTGTTCTCAAGGACTCTACCACAACTCCTCTACGCATTGTGTACGACTGCAGCTTCAAACGAGGTGAACAACCCAGCTTGAATGATTGCTTACAGCCAGGTCCTCCACTTCTCAATGATCTTACTGGTATACTTCTACGCTTCCGTCTCCACCAGTATGCTATAACTGCAGACATTGAAAAGGCATTTCTACATGTAAACCTAGACCAAGCTGATCGAGATGCCACGCGCTTCTACTGGCTATCTAACACGGATGACCCGGAGAGTGAATTCATTGTCTACCGATTCAAGTCTGTCATGTTTGGTGCCACAAGTTCCCCTTTCATCTTAAATGCCACTCTCAATAAGCACCTCACACAGTCTACAGACCAAGTCAGCATGGATATGTTAAGGAATCTGTATGTGGATGATCTCGCCTCGGGAACAAACGATGATGATTCAGCAGTCAACTATTACCAAGATGCCAGGAACAAAATGTCACCGGTGGGCTTCAATCTCAGGTCATGGAGTTCAAACAGTCCTGGTGTTCAACATATTGCAGCCAAAAATCAAATCCTCGACACTAGTCCAACTAAAAAGTACTTGGCATGGTATGGGACATAACTTCAGACACGCTACGATTCTCATGTAAACAGGCAACCTCTACCCCCCCGTTGTCAACCAAGAGAGAGGTGTTACAAGAAACAGCAAAAGTCTTTGATCCACTCGGCTTACTTCAACCAGTCACCGTTGCGGCTAAGATTCTAATACAAGAACTGTGGAAGGAAGGGATTGATTGGGACGAGCCCCTTCCACCTTCTCTTGATCAAAAATGGCGTGCTGTAGCAAAGGAGATTGGAGATGCAACCAAACTTGAGTTCCCACGTCGCTACTTCTCTTCTAATGTCTCTGTCGATAGCAGCGATATAGAACTACATGTTTTCGCTGATGCAAGCCAGAAAGCCTATGGAGCTGCTGCTTACTTAGTACGTGGAAACCAGTCATCGTTAGCTATGGCGAAGTCGCGTGTTGCTCCGACAAGGAAGAAACTCACCCTTCCAGAATTGGAACTTATGGCAACTCTAACAGCCGCACGTTTAGCTTCATATCTTCAAGAACAACTGCCAGTTACAAGAGTCACATTGTGGTCTGACAGCCAAATTGTTCTCCACTGGCTCAAAAGCACCAAGTTGTTGAAGCCATTCGTCAACACTCGCATCCAAGAAGTAAAGAAGCTGACATCAACTTCAAACTGGAGGTACTGCCCTACAACTGAAAACCCCTCCGATCTTCTCACAAGAGGGATAACAGCACATCAACTAGAGATTTCCTTGCTGTGGAAACATGGTCCCACATGGTTACCAAACAGATCCCAGTGGCCTTCATGGCCTACGACAGAGGTTCTTCACTTATCAGCAACTGAAACCTCTCCTGGTGGGTCTACCACAGACGGCACAGTCCCAGTTCAACAGCAAGGCCTTCATCGCCTGATCAATCCATCGGATTTCAGCAGTTTACCAAAGCTTCTACGTGTTACAGCCTATGTTTTCAGATTTGTAAAACTTCTCCAGAAGAAACTTAGTCAACAAGGCCCAATTACAGCCATGGAATATGATCATGCCATGACAGAATGGGTGAAGAATCGTCAATCTGTTGTCTTTCATGCTGAAGTTAACAACCTCCTCTCGAAGTCGCGACACCGCACAACTTTGGTACGTCAACTTCGCCTTTTCCTTGATGATGGTGGTCTTCACGCTGTGGCGGAAGGATACACAACGCACCCTTAAGTGGCAACACCAAGTTTCCTCTGCTACTTCCAAGCAAAGACCATTTCACAGATCTTGTAATTCACTCCACCCATGTCAAACAGCTTCATGCAGGTGTCAACTCAACACTCACCGCCCTACGTCAAACTTATTGGGTTCCTTCTGGCCGACAACGCGTCAAAACTTTAATTGACAAATGCGTAACCTGCAGAAAGGTCTCAGGAACAGCCTACAATGCACCAGACCCACCACCCCTTCCCAAGTCAAGAATACAACAAACACAACCCTTTGAAGTCACTGGGGTGGACTACACCGAGCTCTGTATGTTCGAAATGCTGGAATCGAAACAAAGGTCTACATATGTCTGTTTACTTGTGCAACAACCAGGGCTATTCATCTTGAAGTTGTCGAAGACTTGACCGTTGAAGCCTTCTTACTAGCCTTTTCGCAGATTTGCAAGTCGGAAATCTCTTCCAAGGAAACTAATATCTGACAATGCCTCAACATTTGTATCAGCGAACAATGAACTAAAGGAATTGTTTCAATCTCGTGCGTGCTCAAGGAAACACTAGCAAGGGAAGGCATTGAATGGCTATTCATCCCCAAGAAGGCGCCTTGGTACGGCGGGTTTTGGGAACGCCTCATCGGTCTCACCAAATCCACCATCAAGAAGGTACTCGGCAGAGCTGCAGTCAACCTGTGCACTCTTCAGACAATTGTTGTTGAAGTAGAGGCAATTCTAAACGATCGTCCCCTAACCCACGTTTCCTCAGACATT